GTAAGGTGGGTGGGGGGATGGGTTAGCCTGGTGATGGGTATTAAAGAGGGCACATTCTGCATGGAGCACTGGGTGTTATGCACAAACAATGAATCATGGAACACTACATCAAAAGCTAATGATGTAATGTATGGTGATTAACATAACAATAAAAAATTAAAAAAAAAAGAATATAAGTAAGGTAAGGACTATATTTTTGAGTATCAAGATTATTGTTTTTAATAGAAAATGAGAAATTCTCTGCCATTTAAAAACTCATGTGTTTTATCACTATTAACATGGTAGAAACTAAGAGTTAAAAATCATGAAAAGACATTGTCCCTTCCCCAGGTGCTAAACTCTTTATATTCAAGCTGCATAGGGACCACCTGGATGCATCATGGTTTCTAAAGGTCTAATCATACATGGTTGGAAAAATTTCCTTCATGGCAGAATGATCTATAGGTTCTATGAAATTCTTCTTTAATATGGTTTCCATAGACCCAGTGGAAATAGCACATCCCCAACTGTCCCCTGAATTTATTCTGGTGAAATCACTGTATTTTGGCTGTGTTGTTATCTGGTTATTTATTTGAGCCATTCCTTGTCTTTTTTTCTTTTCTTTTCTTTTAACTCAGGGTTTTACTTCTATCTTTGCAATGTCTTTTCTTAGTTTGTGAGCGCAGATCTATGTGTTAACCTAAACATTTTCTAAGTTGGACGCTGGAGCACGGGAGCTTTAAGTTGATCACAGCAGTGATTCAGAAGCGGCAAGACACAGGAGTGCCCACATACTATGAGCCGGTCATAGTTCTGCCCAGGGCAAGCCATCATCTATCAGGCCCCATGAATGGTCCTAATAAGCAAAGACACAAAGGAGATGATCTCTCTCTATGTGTAGGTACACAAGGAGGTGGTTATCACTAAACTAGGGAATGAGTGGCCTCTCACCAGACACCAGATCTGCTGGTGCCTTATTCTTGGACTTCTTAGCTTCCAGAACTGTAAGAAATAAATGTTTTTTAAGTCACCCAGTCTAGGGTATTTATTATGGCAACTTGAGCTAAGACATCATCCCGTTCCCCTTTTGTGATGTGCCTGTCCAGGGACTTAGCTTCTGTGGGCCAGCAGGTCTCTTTTTCTTCCTTCTTAGAGGTTTTGACCACAGTTTTCTTGTATTGTCTCAGTCCTATCTCTAATATTTTTGACTCTTCTATTCTTCATTAGTGCTTACCAGCCCTCCTCTGCTCCCCTCCATGGGGCAACACACTTCTGAATGTGGCCTCCAAAGTGCTTTCTGATCTTTCCTACCTTTGGTGACCACTGGCCAGCATTGTCCCTTCCAGGACACAAAGTGGACCCTTCATCTGCTGAGTGTGATTGATACCAGCAGAGCTAAGTGAATAAAATGCCATTAAAAAAATTCTATTCTTGGGGCACCTGGGTGGCTCAGAGTTGGTTAGGCGACTGCCTTCGGCTCGGGTCATGATCCTGGAGTCCTGGGATCAAGTCCTGCATCGGGCTCCCTGCTCAGTGGGGAGTCTGCTTCTCCCTCTGACCCTCCTCCCTCTCGTGCTCTCTGTCTCTCATTCTCTCTCTAGCAAATAAATAAAATCTTAAAAAAAAAAAATTCTATTCTAAGGACACCTGCATAGCTCAGTCAAATTAAGCATCCGACTCTTGATTTCAGCTCAGGTCATGATCTCAAGGTTGTGGGATCAAGCCCCACATCGGGTTCCCCACTCAGTGGGGAGTCTGCCTGAGATTCTCTCCCTCTCCCTGTACCCTGCCCCCTGCTCACACATGTGCTCTCTCTCTCTCTCCAAACTAAACAAATATTTAAAAAAAAATTTTGTTCTAAGACCGATTTATTGTATGATGCACCACCATTTAATTACCTTTTTTTAGAACCCTCCCCCAAGCACTATCACATTAAACATATATATTGAAGATACATCCTGATTCTGGAAATATTAAAAATGTGAGAGGAAAAAGTTTGTACCTTGTAATCTAGGAAATACTATAGTGGAATGATTGTGTTTTTTAGCTATTAGTATTAGATGGTCTGCCCCATTCAACAGCGCTACCCTGTCTTCATTATTGTTCTTCCTATAAACATAAGCAAAAAACAAACAAAAACCCATTAATTGTCTTCAGTACTTTTTGCAGACCCTGGTTGCAGTTGTCTCTGGACATTAGCCCTCTTGCATTATTTTCACAGGCCTGAGCCCTTCCTTTGAACAAGGCCCTACTTCTGCCTTCTGCACGTGTCCTTTAAACGTATGAGTTTATCAGAACATTTCTTAAGCAGCCACATTGATCTTTTTTAGATCCTCCCTTTTCTTTATTGAAATCATGGGTTTTATAAAAATTTAAAGAATTTATTTATTTATTTATTTATTTATTTATTTATTTATTTAGAGTGAGCGAGGGAGGGAGCAGGGGGTGGGGCAGAGGGAGAGAGAGAATCCTGAGCAGACCCCGAGCTGAGTGCAGAGCCCAACACGGGCCTCGATCTCACAACCCATGAGACCATGACTGGAGCTATAAATAAGAGTCAGACACTCAACTGACTGAGCCACGAGGTGCCCTGGTTTCATACAAATTTAAATTTCAAGTCATTGTACTCCTCTTTTGCATTCTTTCCTAGTTCCTGGCCAGTCAGAGCCTCACGTCCGTCTTTTCCCTTAACTTGCTCAAGTCTTATTTGTGTCAGGTTAGCAAGTGCAGAATTGACTTCTCTGGCTATTACAAGTTCAAGGATGCCATGGTCACTTACTTTAAGTTGCATGTCACTTTCGCTTCACCAACACATTCTTCTTAGCTGGTGAGAACTATGCATAGAATAGTACCTCTTCAATAAGCAAGTTAGTTTAGATTTAAGTTGTTCCAACTTTATTTGATGCTCTTTTCAGCAGAATGAGCTTGTCAGTGGACGCTGAAGTTCTTCATTACCCCTGTATTATGCCCCCATGCCAATAATTGTGTCATTTGTATTGGGAAAGCCTTATTAATGTTGCCATAACAGGATCACAAGGCCTGACAACACACGGCCAGTGGAGAGAGAGCATGAACCAAGACTGGGGTGAGGAGTACTCCCCAGGGCATGGGCTGTGAATACAGAAGCTGGCTTGGATTAGGGCAGCTCTTCAAGGCTGGTGTCTCTTACCAAGGTAAAGTTCAAGAAGCTATTAATACTAGGCAGTCCAGCATGAAGGGTGAGGCCAATGTGTACCATAGTTTAAGGAGATTGCCAGCAGGGGTATGGGCAGCAGAATACAGCCCTCTAGAGAAGAGGACTGGTCAGAGACACGCTAAACAAATGTCAGAGTCATGGTAGAGAAGACCAGGGTTCAGGAGGGGGTCCCAAATCCACAGGAAGACTGGGATGTGATGCAGGATGACCAGAAACTGAAGGTGTGGAGATCAAGGTGGAAGCCCAGCATTGGACAAACATAGGAGCGGAGGGCAGAATGGGAGGGACCTACAGGTGTCTGAGGCTCACAGTGGACCAGACTGGAAGGAAGCAAGATGCTGGGGCTGATACTGATGATATACCTTGTCCCCAGCTGGAACAGTCGTTAAGTATCGGGGAGGTCAGGGAGCTAGACCTATAGGTGGAGCTCCGTGGGCAATCCAGCAGCTGGTCACTAGGGAAGGCAAAGACAACTGACCAGCTGCTTTACTGTTCGCTCCAGTGACGATGTCACTTCTGCTTTTATTTTCACCCAAATCTTCTCTACCAGGCATTAACCCTCAGGTCTGTGGGTTTCTATTTGTGTTCACAGGTTCTTAACTCACAAGGCTCCTCTGCTTTGCCTTTGATTGTTTGCTTCTTTTGAACAAATTATATAGCTTCCTATTGGCATAATACAACTATAGCTACCATTTACTGATGATTTACCATGTACCAGATACCACACTAGCTGATTTACCTTACACTATCTTATTTAATTCCCACAATGTCCTTGAGGGGTAGGTATTATTGTCCCCATTTTTTTTTAAAGATTTTATTTATTTATTTGACAGAGAGAGGGAGAGAGACAGCGAGAGAGGGAACACAAGCAGGGGGAGTGGGAGAGGGAGAAGCAGGCTTCCCGCTGAGCAGGGAGCCCGATGCGGGGCTCCATCCCAGGACCCTGGGATCATGACCTGAGCTGAAGGCAGACGCTTAACAACCGAGCCACCCAAGCGCCCCTTGTTGTCCCCATTTTAAAAAGAGGAAACTGAGGTTTATATGGTTTATGTAATCAGCCCAAGGTCACACATCTGGGACACAAAAAAGCTTGGATTTAAACTTAGTTTTGTCTAACGACCTATGTGTTGCTAAAGTGACTATATTGACTTCATTTATACTGTGATACAGCCAAACAATCCTTACTGACACCTATCAGCCACTTTAGATTTTTCATCTACCTAAGTATCTACCTACTTATCCATCTATCTTCTATCTTCTACTTTTATCTCAAATTCTGTAACACTCAGTACTGCACTATGTAAGAAGCAGATCATTAATAAGTATTTACTGAGTGAATTAATGCAGTTTAAAAATGTGATTAGAATTACTATGTTCTCCTTGGTTTAGATATTTATAGTCAAGTAGTAAGAATTCTTGTTTGCTTTATAAAAATACTACATTCATGCACATTCGTTCATTACAAGGAAGAAAAGGGGCAAAGTCTGAAATCAATACTGAACTAAGAAGACATATATTATTCCCAGATAAGTCAGATGTAGGCAAATGTGTTTATATGTTCAAATACATTTGAGTAGTTAAAATAAAGGGGTATACATAAAACAGATTATTTTCTTCAGAAGTCTGAATCTGAAAATCTTTCTCATGAAATGATCTTCATACTTGTCTAAATCAGAGGTTGCCAAACTACTGTCCATAAGCCAAATCCAGCACACCCGTTGTTTTTGTATGGCCTGTTAGCTAAGGATGGTCTTCACATTTTTAAATAGCTGAGTAAGATTTAAAAAAAAAATGATATTTTGTAATGTGAAAATTATATGAAATTCAAACCTCAGGATCCATAAATAAAGTTTAATTGACACCCAGCCATGCTCATTCATTTATGTATTATCTACGGTGGCTTTCACACTACAATGGCAGGGTTGAGTAGTTAGGACAGAGTATGGCCCACAAAGCCTAAAATATTTCCCATCTGGCTCTTTACAGAAAAAGTTTGCCAACCCCTGGTCTAACTAAATAATACAGGATGTCATAACATTTTAAATGTTTAAACTACCTCTGTTACTTTAGTTTCTAATTCAAGCACACTGGACAGAAAGGTCATGACATCTCTTTGCTAGGTAGAAGGTTTCCATATTCTCAGGACAAAGTCAAAACCTTTTCTCCTTCGATATTCTCTACATTCTTTCCTGAGCGCAGTAGCACCTTTCTGCGGAAGCAATGACAGACTGAGAAGCTGGTGGTTTCTCTAAGAGGTGATACAGCTCTTCCTGCTAAAAGTCATCTTTCTCTTTGATGGGAAACTGGGGCTGGTCATCCTTGTGAGAGGTTACAGTGTATTACAGAACTGTAGTGGCACCGAAATGGAATGATTCTCCAGACTCCATCAACTGATGCAAGGTGGTATGATGGAGTGAGATAGACGAGGAAAAGCAAATTGCTCTTTTTGTCATCACCCAGGACCTAAATAAAGACAAAAATGACTCAGAATGACCAGACACAGGTGAATATTACTTATCAAAATGTTTTGGGGAGGCACTTAACGTCACAGTGGCATGGCACTGTGAGAGCTCAATCAATGTGACGGGTCAAGAGCAAAACCAAGGGAGAAGAACTTCCTTATTTTTCCTGAGATCAAGTTTGGTTTGCAGTAAAGTTCAAGGGAATATGTCTTATGTATTTATTTTTTGAGACCCAAAAATACATTCTACTATCTTTCTGTATCTCTGCCTCTCTCTCTCTCTCTCTGTTTCTTTTTGTCTCTCTTTCCAATTTAACAAAAGCTTATTGATCATTTATTATGGGTGAGGCACAGGACAAGTATTTATGAGAGAGGTAAGTTACAGTGATCTTCCTGGACCTTTTGGCAGCATTTAATACAAATTATCTTCCCTAACATATTCTTCTCTTGGCTTCTTTGGTCCTATAGTCTCCTGGTTTTATTTTTCTGGTTTCTGATTCTCAGTCTCTACTGTCAGCTCTTTCTTTCTAGCCAATCTCTAAATGATCAGAATATAGTCCTGGGTCTGCCTTTTTTTTTTTTTTTAATCTATTGTCCTTAGGCCATCTCCTCCCAAATTTATAAATCTGGTCCAGTCCCAGCAGCTCTTCTGAGCTTTAGACCCATATCAGGAGTCTGCAATAGACATCTCTACTCACAGAGAAGTTTATCTTCCCCTACAAATCTGTTACCTTCCCAAGATTCTCCATCTCGGAAACTGACACCTCTGCTCGTGCATCAGATCTTGCAAAGACTCTTGAGTCAATCATGACACTACCTCCTTCTCCACAACCCACCATTTCCATTCAATCATCAAGTTCTTTAAAATAACTCTTGACTCTGGTCATTTTTCTTCCTGTGCATGCTACCACTATAGTCCGGGAAACCATCATCTCTCACATGAATCTGAAATAATATATTCCCAACTGGTCTTTCCACATCTGCTCTTGGCCTTGGTCTATTTTATCTTCTCACAGATAATGTCTTTCAGGCAAAAAAAAGAAAAAAGTAAAGTCTTAAAAACCTCACAATACTAACAAAATAGATGTTCTTCAATTTGATTTTTTTTACCTTAATAATGTATCATGAAGATCTTTTCGCACATCTACCTAGAACTGCCTCACAATTTTTAACAGTTGCCTACTACTCACTCGTATAATGTACCATGATTTATTTAACTACCTTTTTAAAAAAAAGATTTTTATTTATTTATTTATTTGACAGAGAGAGACACAGCAAAAGAGGGAACAAAGCAGGGGGAGTGGGAGAGGGAGAAGCAGGCTTCCCCCTGAGCAGGGAACCCGATGCGGGGCTTGATCCCAGGACCCTGGGATCATGACCTGAGCTGAAGGCAAACGCTTAATGACTGAGCCACCCAGGTGCCCCTATTTAACCACTTCTTGATCGATGAACATTTAGCTGTTTTCAGTCTTTAACTACTACTTTAACTACTTTAACTACTTTAATGCTTCAGTGAAGATCCTACAAGAGTTATCCTCCAAGATACATGTGAGTAAATCTACTGGACAAATACAGAAGAGTGGAATTGTTAGGTCAAAGGCTTTGTACATTCAAAAATTAGAGAAATACTGCCTGGTGGCTCTCCACAGAGGTTGTACCAACTTTTACTCCTACTGACAAGGTAAAAAAGTGCCTGCTTCCCAGATTGGCCAAGTATACTATTAAACTTTTTTATTTGTGTCAACCTGGTAAAAAATACACCTCCTTGCAGTTATAATTTGCATACCTCTTGCTAAGGGAAAGGGAGAGCATTTTTACAGATTTTAAAGATTCCTTGACTGGACTCTATTTGTTATCCTTTTACTCAATTTTCCAAGGTTTTTGGTATTTTTCTTATTGGTTTATAGGAGTGCTTTGATTTCTTCTTAAATAATCTAATTTCCACATTCTTTCAGGTATCCTAGTATTTTTTAAAAGCCACACTTCAGCCAATTTTTTTTTTTTTGAGGGAGGGGGGTGGACAGAGAGAGGAGAGAGAGAATCTTAAGCAGGCTCCACGCCCAGCACAGAGCCCGACACGGGGCTTGATCTCAAAACCCCGAGATCATGACCCGAGCGGAAATCAAGAATCAGACGCTTAACCAACTGAGCCACCCAGATATGGCCCCCAGCCAATATTTTTTCTAATAATAATTTTTCTAATAATTTTTCTAATAATAAATAAGCACTGAATGTTAACTCCATTAGGGGAGCCCACATGAAGAGCTCACATGGAGAAGTTATGAATTGATTTGCGGAAGTCCTGACTTCCTGAAAATAGCTTGACAAGACTGTCTCATATGTATACCTGTATTATTTCATTTAATTTTACTAACAGCCCTTGGAGGCATGTGTTATAAACCACAAAGTGAAGCTCAGAGAATGTGAATGTCCAGGGTCACACCGTTAGTAAGTCATCCACTTCTGGAATCTTAAAAGCATAGTAATCCATCATCACTGGTGGATCATTCCTCAGCCACATGAGGCTCTGATCCTTGAGGTCTTTAATTTCTAATAATTATCGATCCTCTCTTTTTCCTTCTATAAGCATCCAATGAATATTTTTAAGTGTCTATGATATGCCAGGAATCCTCATGGGCTTTACATTTCAAAGGGGTTGTCAGCCATAAGCAAAATAAACCCCAAGTAGTAATAAAGTTTTGTTTTATTTTGCTTTATTTACCTACTATCAGGGTAGTCGGGAAGGGCCTCATTGAGGAGGTGACATTTAAACAGATGGGAATGACCAAAAGAGTGTTCCACGAAAAGGAAATATGTGAGCTGAGAACTTTAAAATAAGAGCAAACCCTTTGTGCTTGAGGAGTAGAAAAAAAGGCCATTGTGATTGAAGTCAGAGGAGAGCGGTGGGAGATGAGATTGAAGAGGTGGTCTGAGATGGCCCGTAAGGCTTCACAGGCCAGCAAAGGAGTCTGGACTCTATTCCAAGTACAATCAGAAGACATGGAAGGATTCTAAGAAGAGAAGCGATATGATGTGATTTATGTCACTTTGGCTGTAAAGAATAAGGAAAAGAGTAGAAGCAGGAAAACCAATGAGAACGTTATTATAGGAGACCAGAAGATGATATTTGTATTAGGTGGTGGCAGTGGAGATGGAAAGAGATAGATTTTGGAAATATTCTGGAGGTAAAGTTGACCCAAATTCTTCATGAATTGGACATGAGAACTGAGGAAAAGAGAAGAACCATGAGTATCTACATGCTTTTTGGCTTGAGGAACTGGTGTGCAGTCATGACATTTGTTTGAAGGAGAAGGCTGCAAGAATGAAGAATTGCATATTATTGTATTATTTCCTTATGCAGCCTTCCCCTCACAGACCATGATTTTACTCTTTTCCCAATACCTTTATTTTCCTTCCCTACTTGCCCTGTCATCCTTCTTACCCAAAACAACTACTTCTACTTCCTCTACTCCCTTCCACTCCTTCATCCAGTGTCATCTGCTCCTTTCCCCCTTATCCCAATAAACTCCTTCTTGTCAAACACAATGACCTCCTTGTCCTGACATCCAAGTCCTCATTTTTCTTGACCTTTCTCTAGCATTTAATACTGTTGACATTTCCTCCCTTGGCTTCTCTGAAATGACTTGTTTCTGGTCCTCCTAATCTCTATGGATAGTCATCCCCTGTAGCATTGTGTCCTCACGTTTTTTTTTTTTTTTTGCCTCACCTTTTAGATGCTGGCATTTGAATAGGTTCCAGAGTAGGTCCTCTTCTCCTTTTACTGTCTACCTTTTCTCTTGGGGATTCCATCTACTTCCATGAGCTATCACTCCCGCTGATGTCCTCAGCGTAGATCTCTCTCGAGTTCTAGCCTGTCCCGTTCGAGTACAGAGAAACAGCTTCACTTTGATGTCCTCATGGACATTTCAAACTCAACACTTTTTAAAATCAAACTACTTACCTTCCCTCCTCAACCTACTGTTCTTCTTGAAGTCCTCATCTTAGCAAATGGTACCATGATCCTCCTATTGACCTAGGTCATAAGTCTCCTATTCCTTAATCTTGCAGATATAATCAATAATAAAATTCAGTTGAGTCTGTCTTTAATATTTCCTGAATCCTTCCCTTTTCTCCGTTTCCATTCTTGCTGTCTATATTTAGATGTCCATCAGTTTTTTTCCTATAATACTAAAACAACCTCCTAACTAGTCTCCCTGCTCATAGTGTTAATCACCCTAATAAATTCTCCAAACTGGAGTGAACTTCTTTCTACAATGGACTTTTGATCACCTCACTATGCTCCTTAAAATTCATCGATGGCCTCAGGATAAGTTGAAACCTCTCAGGAAGGCATGCAAGACCTTTCCCAGTATAAGACCTTGTTGATCTTTCTTGGTAGGTCCTTTAGAACTTTTGCCACATAATCATACAATGCATTAACTGAGAATCTACCACTTGCTGGGCACTGTCAATCACCTTCAACTCTCTGGACACTTTTACCAGGACATTACACATACTACTTTCTTTGCCTGGAACACATTTCTCTTTAACTTCCCCACTTGTCTGGATTACTTCTACTTATCCTTCCAGACTCATTTCCAAACTCATCTTCTCTGGTGAGGGACCCTAACTAAACTCAGTCAGGGTTAGGTACCCCTCTAATAAGCTCCCTGTTGATAGAATCTCACTGTCGTGTGATCAACCATGTCCTCATCTGTGCCCTCGTTATCCTATAAGGTCCTTTAGAGCAGGCTGTCCTATTCATTTTTGTATTCCCAGTGCCTAGCACACAGCCTGGCACATAGCGGGCACTCAGTAATGAATGAATAAAGTGGCAGAGTTGGGTTTCACAGTCAGCTCCTTTCTCTGTGGCACAAATCTCACATTTCCTCATGATACTTCTTAACATCTTCAACCTGTAACATTTGGAAATCTGTGCTACATGTATTTTTGCCTATCACTAATTAAAATATAGACAAATAGATTATGGAGTGCCTGGGTGGCTCAGTCGTTAAGCATCTGCCTTCGGCTCGGGTCATGATCCCGGGGTCCTGGGATCGAGCCCCGCATCGGGCTCCCTGCTCAGTGGGAAGCCTGCTTCTCCCTCTCCCACTCCCCCTGCTTGTGTCTCTCTCTGTCAAATAAATAAACAAAAATCTTTTTTAAAAAAAGATTATTAGCTTCATGAGGATTCAATTGATTATTTACTTCTTGTAGAGCTCTTCCTCATCACTCCATGGTTTTGCTCATCAAAGCACTTGGGTTGACTAAATCTAAAGTGACTGAAAGATCGTTCCATACACTTTTTATATTCTTTCTAACTCTTACCCTGTTGCTTCTACAACACCATCAGGGAAGCAGAGAGTAAGTACATTGGGAATAAGGTTGATTTTATTTTGACTGTCTGGCAACTGGCACTAAAAAAACGATGTATCCCAACAGCAAATCACTTCCCATTATCACTTCCCCCAAGGTCTCTATGGATAGGCATTCAAGTTTCGGTGCTAAAATTTAACATTGCAAAATCTAGCTAAAATTGAAATTTTTATGTAGTGACTTCAATGTGATCACAGAACTTTATAAATGGAAGGAACCTTAGAGATCTCTAGTCCAGCACGTTCATTGAGCTTCTCTGAGGAAACTGGTGAGGAGACCTATAATGGCTTGCCCAAGGTCATTCAGTCTAGAGCACAAGTAGGAGCAAATTTCCTGTCTTTCAGTCCACTGATCTTTCCTCCATGCACCCTTTTATTTTCTATCTAAACAAATTATCTACATCAGAACCCACCTAACATTTTACATAGTGCTTATTTTTATGATATTGCCTTTGTGGTATTCTTGTCATAAAAAGAAAGGACCTTAAAAAAGAAAGCAAGGCTGTCTCGTCCAGGCAGAATTGGTAAAAGAGACAATTAGTACGTAAAGTAATGGGTTCCTATTTGTGAGTAGCCCTGTAATCACGCTCTGTTCTCTGAGCGCCCCAATGCTAACCCAACCTTATTTCTGCTCCCGGGGCCTGGATTCCATTCAATTCTGTGCCTTATTTAGTCCAAATGATTTCCCCAGCTTCAATGTGTATTTTTTGGGCTTCATTTTAGAAATATCATACTTAAATCTACTCTCTACTTGAGTTTGTTTTAGTTCTAACGGTGAGGAATGAGGATTCTGGGTAAAAGAAATAAAGATGATGGATTTTTCTAGGCTTTACATTTCAAGAATGGCTTTCTCAAATGGCAACTGGCAGTCTAATTTATTCCTCAAATGATGACGTTTTCCATGGGAATCAGACTTTAATTGGGATAATTTGTTTTCACGGAAACCACAGATTTCTTTCCAAGAGGATCAGTTTGATAATGTTTTACCAGCTAGTGCACGGAGACCAAATATAAAACAGTTCCGAGAAACAGGAAGTGAACCTGACCGGTCTAGTCTGTGTGTCCCTGGCGGTGACGCAAATACAGAAATCAAATTAGGAAAACAAGATATGTGGGTGTGAGGCAATCGATAACAATCCAGGATGCTACAAAGCAAGGAAGAACACCTTTAACCAAATGCCACTCAGTTTAATAACACCCTGAGAAGTTTGATTTCCACTGAACATGCTAGTGGTTAGGGAGCAGGATGAGCTTGAGTTCCCTAGCAACAGCATGTGCTTTGGAGACGTCATTAGCCTTTCAGTTAATCCCGCCAACCCCTTACTTCTAAATGTATGACTGACGTTAAAAAAAAAAAAAAGAAAGAAAGAAATGATATTTCAGAAAGTGCTTTGAAATTTCCAGGAGCAAAATGGGAAGGAATTAAAAAAAAAAAAAGTTGTTCTGAGAATTGTTCTCAGGTAAAAGAAGTCATGTTCGTATGTGTCCAACCTGTCCCCACATTCACTGCTCTCGGTTCTCTGTTTCTGAATCTCCTGTGGGTAAAGGGCAATGGAGGGGAAATGATTGAGAGTTTAAGGCAGTTCCCTCCTGCAACATCCATCACAGTCTGAAAGTGGGGTGAATAGTGGGGTGGGCAGTTTGTGTGGGGCAGAGATTGGGGGGTGGGTAAGATGGGAGGGACTATAACACAGGTTTCTTTCCCCTTTAAGCAGAATAAATTATCCTGGTTGAAGGAGCTTGAGGAAGGAGGGTGGTGAGGGGGAATGAAGCTATTTTTCCTATTGATTGTTTAATTGCACCAGAGGATGTTCGTCCGAGGCCACTGGCCAAGAGCATTATTTTGGTGGCTAAAGTGAGGTTGGGCAGGTTTCCATCCCCTTCCTTAGTTTTAAACAAGACAACCCATAAAGCGCAGCCGGGCTATAGGAATATGGTGTATGCTGACTTTTGCTACTCATCTGTACCCTAAAGCGCCAAGCCTGATGGGACGATGGTGTTCAAACCCTGAATCATTGCTATAGCTCTGTCCTGGGTTCGGGATGCACAACTCTTCTTTGTAGCCTGGGTCAACGGCGGGGCGTTATTAGAATGGTAATTATTGCTGCGTTTGGCTGGTCATCCCTATTATGGCCTGGGTCCCTTTCAACTAGACACTGGGCTCCTTCAGTTTGGCCGGGTGACTCCCAGTTCTCCCCGCCACCCCACCTAACCACCCCCCGCCCCCTGCGCGCTCCCTTCCCAAGGCGACCACCTGCGCCGCCCCACTTACCATCTGCCCCGCGGGGAGGGCCCCTCGTGGTAGCGGTGCCCTCCCTGCTCCCGGGCGGCTCTGGGGGAGCTCGGTGTTTGCCTCCAGCCCTTCGCTACCGGAGAGATCAGGTTCCTCCCCTCCTCCCCCTCCAGCTCCGGCCGCCGCCGCCGCCTCCTTCTTGCATGACACAGCAGAACCGCAGCTGCTGCAGCGAGTCCCAACCATCCGCCCAGGAAGCGCCGCAACCAGGACTCGGGAGGGGCGGAGGGGGGCGAGGCAGGGGCCACCGCCGAGGGGGATTCTTGCCCCAACTCTGCACCGCACACTTGTTTCCCAGCGCAGGGGCTCGGGAGCAAAATCGGGCTAAAGCCGACCAGGCCGAGCCGTTGAGGAATGCTGGGGTTTGGCGTCAGAAGGGATGGGACCCGAGAGAAGGGTGCGAAGGAGACCCCAGTAGGGGTAGGACATTGCAGGGAAAGAAGAGGCCGAGAAGTCAAGAGCCAGGCTGTGAAGGAGAATAAAGGAGGTCAAAGAGAGGTAAGGAGGGAGAGTCGCTGAGAAGGGAGACGGAGCTGGGAAGGGGGGTGGGGGGAAGCTGCCGGGCAAGGAGGACTGGGAGGGAGTCCTGGGGGAGGCCTGAGCTAAGTACCCAGGCAGCATGGGGGCTGAATTGGGAGGCAAGGGCACAAAAAGGGAAAGGGATGGAAGAATGAGGCATTAGATAGGAAGGTAAAAATTGGGGGCATTAGAAGGGATGTAGTGGAGATCATTCATCATGGCTGATGAGGTAAACTGATGAGGTGGAAAGAGATACAGTCGAGGCAAAGCCAAAGGAAAGGATGATCTTCCATCCCACCCTTTAGTTTCCTGAGAAGTTTTTCATAATTCCGCCAGTACATACAGGGAGTTTTCCTTATAAATGGAAAAGCATGAACCAAAGCATAGAAATAGCTGGTTCGCTTAGCTTTACAGCATAAAGTCTCCATGGTGCACAAAAACTTTAAGGCAGAGATTTGGGATTTAAGCCATAAGCACTTACAGGGGTTGTGATTCAGTAATACTGAGGGCACTCAAAACTGGTGTTACAGCTTCCACACAACACGGAACTTGAATAAGTCTTTCAGAGTGTTTGCTATGTGTTTCAGTTAAATGCACTGGAAATGATGACAAAATTATTGGCTAAAACTATCCTAAAAATGCACCTGCTCTTCTTCTTTCTCTCTATACTCACACATACACAGATACATACATATAATTTCTAGTGTCTAGCATGTACAGTATGATTAAGGGAAACATGTGTTTTTGTGATTATTTTATTTCCCACCAAAACACACGCTACGCATTTTACAGCAAACCAGCTGCTTCTCACCCTTTGCAAGAATGTGGTCAGAAAAGTAATGCAAAAACTGTCACTTTGGTTTTGTCTGTACCTTCCAGGTCATATCTTCGTACCTCACTTCCTGACACAAACAAGTTTTTACTGTTGTCAGCAACAAAGCCCTAATATAGCTGCGGAAGAGAAAAACTGCATTGCATTTAGCCTCCTGCAAGCATCATCAACAGTTACCGGAGGAATGTAATTCCAGAAAGCTTTAAAGCTGGTGGTGATGGTAATTATGTATATCAAATGCCTGGTTCTATTTCTGTTATTATTGTTTTGTCATTTTTGTTCTACCCAAGAGCCGGCTGAACTCGCAGAGAGAAATCCGGTTTTTCTTTTTGACTTTGTAAAAATTCATCAGCCCCGGTAGAAAACTTGCTCTTGGGGAAAATAAAGTAGGAGCCACGAAATGTCATTTTAGCAGAGCGTGGGTTTTGCGACTGTGGGAAAGGATTTAAGGACGCGCCTTCTGTTCGGTTTCCTATGTAACGAGCAAAGGCTACACGCACGCACAGACGCCACAGCTCCCGGATGCTGTGGCTCCCTTATCTGGGCTTCTGCAAGCTCCAGAAGCCCCTTCGGGATGCTGCGAGGGGCTCCCGGTGGGTGGTGGCAGGAACGCTGCGGCCGCCGCCGCCACTCCAGCCGCTGCCGCTGTTGTTGCTGCTGCAGTCACGTGGGAGCCCCTTTAAGTTTCCATAGAGAGGCCTCTCCGGTGTCACATGATGGACATGATATAATGAAACAACATTGTGGAGAGGAAAGCATTAGGGGAGCCCACGGCTACAAAAACAAGTGAGTGAGAAGAGGTGGGAGGAAGAGAAACTACGCCACCTCCCCTGCAGCCGAGCCGCACGCAGCAGCCTGCGAGAAGTGGGCGACGCCGGGGGGCGGGGGGGAGGAGGTGGGCAGGGAGACGGGGTCCTCAGCCTCGGCCCGGGGACTCCGCCGCCCACCGCGGAGAGAACAACTTTTAGCCGGAAGCCTCGGCCACCACCGCACCTGTCTCCGGAGCCTCCATCGCTCCTCGTGACGATCAAAGGGAAATTCTAGAAGAATATGCTCTACAAATATACGTGCGCATCATTTTGCCTCCTTGCGTCTCGCTCTAGAAGGAAAGAGAAAGGGATTCTAGCGGCAGCGTGCGTTCCGCCCCAAGGTAAGTTCTCGAGGGTGGGGAGAGCCGGCCCAGCAGGACTTTGGGGTGGGAATTTTGTTCTCCGTTGAGCCCTGTCGAGGTGAACGAGGCGTCCCCTCGCTGCTGGCGGGGAGGATGGGTCGGATGGTCCAGCAGAAACATTTCCATTGTGGACTCTTGTTATTTCCTCTTTCGCACGCCCGGCGGTCCCACCCTCGGACTCCCCGGGGCCCCTGGCCTCCCCCCGGAAGGGGCCGCAGGTCACGGCCGGGATGTTCGGAAGCCGGGCGAGGGAAGGTAGGGGTTGTGGCGTTGGCCGGGAATGCCGAGGCGATTTCGCCATGTTTGTGTTGCTAAGAGCACTTTTTTCCCCTTTGAGGTGGCTTCATGCCACATGGTTCCTCCGGAGCTGCTGCCGGGTTGAGAGAGAGAGAGAGAGAGAGAGAGTGTGTGTGTGTGTGTGTGTGTTTTCAATGTCCGCATTCCAGCTAATGTTGCGCAGATAAAATTCAAACTTGAGGTAAACAGAAGAGGAGGAGGAGGAGGGGGGGAGGGAGGGGGAGACTGTTTCCATTTCGAGATCCCACCTCTTCACTCCGCGAAGACCAACATCCCGAATCCGGAGAGCACTCGCCGCTTTCTCCCACCTACCCCACCTTTGCTGTCCGCGAGAAAGCAGGCGGCGGGCGGGGGGGTGGCGGGGGATACTCGCGGAGGACGCGGTGTCTGGGTTCTGAAAGGGAAAAACACCCCTGGCACTAATAAGGCCTTTGGCTACCTCCTTTTCGCCGGGAGGGACGGAGGATGCCTCGGATTGCTCTGGGCCTGGGGAACAGGAGGACAGTGCTCCCGGGAGGGGCGAGGGGGTGCCTGCCCTTCTCACTCCCTCTTACTTTAGGGGACCGGACTGTCGCGCTCCCACCCCACCCCAGGCGCAGGTTCCTGCAGGCGGGCTGGGTGGGTCTCCAGGTTTCCAGAGGGCTGGTTGCGTAGCAGGTGTGTGGAGGGCATTTCTATTTCGTAAGTCTTGAATTTTGTGGGACGACGTGGATGGGCAGAGCTGCGTCTTAATTTTTTTTTTTTTGCAAATTAGGGAGAAAAATCAAGACGTTACACCCCACTCCTCCCGTTTTAAATACTGATTCAGCTCGAAGCTAGGCTGAAGGGTGAGTGGGGATGTTTAAGGGTGAGGGTGAGCTTCGTCATGTGGAAAACTAGGAATCTGACAGCTTGTGGCCACCACCCCCCCCGCCCCGGCCCCGGGAGGAATGCGGGCTGGGTGGTCCGACAGGGGAGGCGTCCCACGGGGTGTGAGCCGGCGCCGGGTCCCTTAGTGCGCGAGGGTCCGCAGCCCTTGTCGGCGGGGACTGCCAGGCCGGGAGGCGGCGGCCACGTGAGGGTGGTCTGCAGAAGCGCTGGAGCCGAGAGATGGGGGTGAGGTGCGTAGCACAGTCGTGCCGGGGGCGGACACGAAACACCCGTGGGCGGTGAGCCGCGGAGGAGCGAGCGGAGACTCGCGAGGGCCCGACCCCGGAGCCGTGGCGACGGTTTTATTCCGAGCGGCGGCCGGAGCCGGGCGCCTTCTCCGCTGGGCCGGCGTCCCGGGCGCGGGTGGGTGCGCACTTCACAGCGCTCTCCCGGGAAACCGTTTCCGGGCGGGGTCCCTGGCCCCGAGCGAGGGCTGTAAACAGGGTGGTGCCCTCTGCCCTCCCGCCCCCGGCCTGCCGGGGCGCGCGGCCGGCGGCGCCCGGAGCGGCGGAGGCGCGGCCGCGGCTCTGGGCAGTGGCGGCGGGGGCGCGCCCGCTCCCCGCCGCCCCCGCGCGCCCCCGCCGCCCGGCCGGCCGGCCTCCTCTGTTTTTGTTTTGATGGAGCCCGCGTGCAGCTGGCGCGTGTCGAGTCACGTGCCGTGGGCGGGAGGGGGCTGGGGCGCGGGAGGCGAGGGCGCGGTGACGCACGCGTCCGGAGGGCCTGGCGCCCGCGGGGGCGAGGGGCGAGGGGGCGTGTGCCCCAGGCAGAGCTCGGTCGTGCCGGGTGTCGGGGCCGCATCTGGTGGGATTCGTGGGAGTTGATGCCGGGTGCGCCGTGTTCGGACGTGGGTGTGAATCCCACAGCTCTTGGAGTTCGTCGTCACAGCATCTAGGCGAGCCTCGTCCAGCCCGGCAGAGGCGGCCCGGCCTGCGCGGATTCGGTGGAGCAAGACCTTACCGATGTATTTCTGCGGGCACATATGTATGTGGATCTTAATCCTGGCTGTCTATCATGTGACATCGGAGAGGCCTCTCTATGGAAACTTAAAGGGGCTCCCACGTGACTTGTATGTGGTTCTTAATCCTGGCTGCAAATTATAAACAACTTGAGAGTCATAGGAAGAACTCCGTTGCCTGGCTCAGCCCCAGACCAGTTGAACCCAAATCCAAATAGGGCCTGGACATAAGAGTATTTAGGAAAAAAATCTTCCTTGGTACTTTTGACGCACAGTGAGGGGCGAGAACTTACAGAGGTAGCCAGCTTGATGGAATCGATGGTTCTGAAACCATCCCTCGTTAGGGATGAACTAGTAAAAATAGCAGACGTAGTTAACACGCATTGAGCTGTCACTAGAA